GTTTTGTGTTTATCGCTTAATAATAAGCATATTGCAATTAGATACACATTTCATCGTAAGGTAATCGATATTTTTCTTTGGTCACATTTTACACGAACGAAAGGAAAGATTTTGTACCTTATCGCCTACACTTTCCCTTGCAAGTTTACCATCCCTTACTCCGTACATGATTTTTGATGTAAAGCTACAAAAGCGTGACGAGTGGGGAGATAGGGAAAATCATTAAATCTCGAGAGAATGTCACACTCATATTTACGACTAGTGAGGCACGGGTTTCCGCAGTGGTTTCGGATTCGCTACGGTCGGCTTGGCAATAAATGTCCGGGGTGCTTAAGTGGTTTTGGAATCGGCCTATGGGTTACGATCGCCTATTGTGGGTGAGAAATTTATGTCTTGCGCACATCTGCTGACAGAGGGTTTTGATCTCGATTCGGAAGGGGATTGGGAAGAGGAGGGAAGTGTTTGGGCGAGTGTTTTGCAGGGAGGGACCATTTTCTGTGTTTTATTATACCTTCTAAAAGTGTGTCATAAAAAAATGTTTTATATATTTCCAGTGATTTCATTGTCATGGGACTGGCAAAATTGCGCAAAATAGTGTTCGTGAATTGCAATATTCATGCGGGAGGTAAAAAGTAAGAACACGTAGTTTCTTCATTTCTCATTTATGACACACCATCCGCTTTGGTTCCTCCAGCGTCGCCGTGTCGCCTGTCACCACGAACGCGTCCTTCGGCTGAAACCACATTAGTCATGATAATGAGGCTTTATATTCAATCCTCTTGGTTATTTATGCGTCTAGGCGGGGGGTTGCAGGGGTGGTGGTTAAAGAGCTTTAAGAGGAAGGGGTGCTGGGAAGACATAAAAAGGGGAGCCTCAGTAAACTACATATTTTTTTCCCCGTTTTGAAAATTCATTCCCCCTTCCTGCCCCATGGGATTAATAGATTATTTTGCCGACGTTTTATGTTAATGGTGGGGAGGCGTCATGGTGTGCGGAGCGGATGTGCGTCTTGTTTGTCTGTGTCTGTGTCTGGGAGCTCGCTGGCGTTGCGGGGATGTCACCCTCGGGCTGGATAAGGGTGAGAAGGAAGGGGAGGTGCTGCCCTTTGGCGTCGAGGGCGACCGCTAATGGAGATGATAGTTGTAGGGCGCTGAGGATAAGGATGGTTTTGTGTTGTTGTTTCCGTGCTGTTCTGCTGTTGTAGATGTTGCAGTTTGTAACGATATGATGATGATCGTCATGATGATAATGATTTTGATGTTAGCAGTGGCTAACAGTGCAGCCTTTGGTAATAGTGATACCGTTATCAATAACATTAGTATTGATGTTACTGGCATCATTTGTTGGGATCTGCAGCATCATTTCCGCGTCATGCCGTTGTTAGAAGTATAATAGTACAGATAAAGTATATTGGGATATAAACAGCAGAGGTATAATAATAATTCCAAGAGCTTTCATATCAGAAGGTCAAACGTCAACGAGGTATGAAATGACTGTCAAGTGGGAATATAATAATTCCCTTTCATTCGAATGCATTTGTCTTCTCTTGCTTATTTATTTTATGATGGAGGCAGGAGGAAGGGAGAAAAGAGAGGAGAGACTGAGAGAGGGAGATGGAAAAGGAGAGGAAAGGGAAGAGGAAGAGACAGAGGGAAAGGGAGAAGGAAAAGAGAGAGGAGGAGTGGGATGGAGGCAGAATACAAAAAGGAAAATGGTGAAACAAATAGAAAGTTATCTTACAGTGCTTGATGTAGGGGATGAAAAAGGCAAGCTAAAAGTGTAAAGAGAAAGTAGCCAGTAATGCAGTTTTGGTGTAGAAAAAAATGGAAGAAATAATAAAAAGATTCTAACTTTCTAACAAAAGGAGGGATTAAGGGAAGGGAGGAAGAATGACCGAGAGGGAGGGAGTGCAGAGAATAAGAGGGAGAACAGGAAGGGAGGAAGGAAGGAAGGAGATTAACAAGGGAGAGAACGGGAAAGAGGGGGAGGGAGAAGAGGGGTCAGCTCTAACAAGATTTTAGGCATCACGGTTGACTCGTTCGCGGGTCAACGGGGCAGAAGGAGAAGGCG